GTGGGAAAGGGTAAATTACCAGAATAACTTTTTCCTGTCCTGTGACTGCATCCATAGGGCCAAACAGCCCACTGATGTGTATAGAGTTTGAGTCTAGAGAGGCAATTCACGTCACTGTTTGTTCTGACTTACTGCAGAACAGACACTAAGATTTTCATTGCCTGCCTCTCAAGCCCTCTGCCTGTCTTCTGCCTTTCTCTAAGACAGCATCTCTTATAGAAGTAGATGCTTGATCTCAAAGACAGACATTTGAACATTCAACTGGTTGATATGTGTCAGTACTACTAAGGGGAGAAGGAGGACTTTGGTTTTATGGTCTTTCTAATAAGCCAGTTTTGAAAATCTAGTACTTCAATATGAAGACAATCTTCCATCATCTTTGGTAATTTATAACAGTAGTTATTACCCTCCGCCTTATTTGCTAAATGTTCTTGGTTTGGACTGCTGATTCCAGCTTTCATCAGTTGGGTCTTGCAACATGTTTGTTTTTAAGAGGAGCTGCCATAAACCCTAGAGAGCCGCGCTGAGGAATTAGATCTCTGTTCCCTAGACCAAGCTTGTGCTGGGAGTTTGGTACAGTCTGTGAGAACCAGCGAGCCTCTTTGAGGAGGTGCAGTCAGAGAACAGCAATGCTTGGCACAATTACCTTTGCTGTTAATTTAAAATAGTCTATCATCTGAAGGACGGCTTTTAAACCTGTTAACAAATAATTAAGTGCAACACAGCCTTTTGGCCTGGGAAGGATAGCTTCTTAAGCCTGAGGCCGTTTGAATGGCTGTATGTTCTGAACTTCAAAGAGGAGCAATAAATCTATTTATAAATCGAGACACCTCTACAGGAGATCCGTTCCTGTGTTTTCGCTTATGTAATCCCACAAAACATCAGTCCTAGGTAATTCAACACAATAAACTTTAGAAATAATTCAGTATCGGTGTTGCTCTGAGCTATTAAGCATCCCTGTGTAACACAGGTTGGCAGTGCTGACCTTCCAGCCAACAAACCAGCAGCAGCAGCAGGCAGCAACTTTGAGCTGTCGGTCCTGCCTGCAGACAGCCCTGCCTGTGTCTGCCTCTTTGCAGAGGGCTGTGCGGTGTGATGGGTGTGTGCTCAGGCAGTGCGGTACACGGCTGACCTGAGCGTTGAGAGAAAGCACTGGTTACGTACACTGAGCCCTCCAGGGATCAGCCACACGCAACTGCCAAGCTCAACGCTCATCATGGCCTCTCTAGAAAACCCATCTTGTGCTCCATTGGTGTCTCCCAGATGTTGGTACTGCTGGATGGCCCCGTGGAAGGGGAAGGAAAGAAAGCCTATTTTTAAAAGGTCTGATGCGGGAATCACAAGGCAGAATTGTTGGCCTGTTCTGTGGATGAGGTCAGACCACAGGGTCCCCTGGAGAACCCACAGCTCTACTCCAGATATTGCCCACTTGCTGACAGGGGATTAGGAATAGCACAGCTGAACGTGTCCAACTACGTAGCCATTGGATTTAAACTGACCATCAAGGAAACATGGCACAGCAGTGTTCTCACTGCCTTCTGAACCGTGGGCGCTGGCTGGTATGCCTCCCTACCCTGTGGCAAATGTCAGCTCAAATTTCACTGAAAGGGCTTCACCCAAGTTGCACTGCCTTGTCTTTGTCATGAGCAAAGAGCAGACAGACAGTCATCACAGCTCAGTTGATGTATGTCAGCTTCTTTGTGGACCTGGGCTCTGTAGTGATCGGTTGCAGTCTACCCTGAGGGGCTTCAGTCATGAATAGGCACCTGCAGCTCACAGAAAGGCAAGGCTAGAGGGACCACGAGCGACTGCGAGTGCCTGTGCCTGTGCCAAGGGAGGGTCAGGTACCCCAGGTCTTGTCTGACAGGCAGTCGTCCAGCCTTTCCTTAAAAACTGCCAGTCACGAAGACCCTCTGGTCTCCCGAGGTAGGTTCATCCAGGGCTTATATTTCGTTATCATTAAAAACTTGGTCAAAGATAAATCGGTTTCTCTTAAAATCAGTCTGATCATTTCTAGTCCTGTCATGCTCTTGGCTTATACACAGTGATCCTCTGCAGTCCTCAAGCTTTTTCTGCAGTGCTTCTGCCTGGCCCCATTTTGTACTCATGTTTTCCAGTTCTCCTGAGCGTTGTACTTCGCTCTGGCCTTGGTTGAAATGCATCCTAAAGATTTTGGACAGCTTCTCTCTTTTATCGAAACTGCAGTCTAATCCAATACTCCAAGGTGGTTGAAATCTCTCCAGTTTACCATCTTCCAGGAATCTTATAAGTATGCTCTCTATTCCTCATCCAGATCATGAAACAGTTTAATGGCATCGAGCTCAGGACGGAGCCATGTGGAATCATTTTTGCAATGCCTGCCCCTTTGACAGTGAGCTAGTCTCTCCAAACATCGGGTTGCGCTGGCTGCATTCAGGTCACGTTTGCCTGTTGTTTTGCTGAGAGCATCACATGTGCTGGCACAGAGCATCAGCCCCTCCACCCTCTGGGCTGGGGTGGGCCAGGCAGGGCTCTCCGATGGTGGCCAGGCATCTTGGGGCTGGCATGGCTTTCAGACTGCTCCTTTGAACACAGCTGGTCTAGGTGCCCAGCACCATCACCAAGCAGCAACTGCTGTCTCTGCGGAAAATCCTACCTCCTCTTCTACATTATTTTGATGCTAACAGTAATGAGAAAGGCTGCTAGAAATGTCTGTAGTGGGAATTGAGCCATTCCTGCTACTGTCCTCATCCCTGTGAGACGAGACCCTTTGCAGAGGCTTCCTGCAGCAGCTCTTCATCCACAGTGCCTTCAACCCAAAAGAGGAAAGAATTGGATACCTGTCTTTAAAGCCAAGTGTCATTCCTGTGCTAATTCACATGCGCAGGGCAGGATTCAGGCACTTTGCGAATGTCTGAGTTGGGTGTGTGAGTCCCCTCCACGCCTGCTGGCCAGAGAGGCTCGTTGTGAGCGTGATTCCTCCCAGCTATCTCAGCTGTGGTGGCCTCAGAAGACACAGCACCTCTTGCACAGGGTAGCAGAGCTGTGGCTTACTTAATCATGGTCCAGTTAGTTGCGGGGGGAGCCTGTGTCAGCGCTGGGAGAAGCGGAATCCTGGCTGGCTGAGATGGGCTGATCCAGTTCCCATGCTCCCCGCTGCCACCCACACAGTGCAGCTCCCTCCCTCGCGTGGGCTGCTCTCCGGGATTGCTGTTCTCCTCCGGGTTGTGCCGGGAACCTCCCCTGCCAGGGAACCTAACAATAGGCCGCTGTGCTGGCTGCTGCGGGCAGACGCGGGAAAGTCTTACTGCCTTACCGAGAGGTTTTCCTGGCCCTGGCTGCTGTCCCATCCCACCTCACCCGTATGTGGCTTTGGAGCACATTTTCCCACATAGCTGGGGTCCTGTTGAGCTGTCTGCAACATGAAAGCTGAGGAGCTGTGTTTTCAGCTTGCTGTGTCACAGGGAGCCGATCTGTTCCCGTTTGCTCTCTCCGGCCCAAAGGCCAGAATCTTACCCCCCCGCCAGCTTCTCCTTGTGCCCCCAGCTGCCCCATGCAGCCCCTGTCCTGAGCAGCACCACCAGCCCAGCCCTCTCCGCTGTCTGGTCCTGAGCCTGTTGGGTGAGAACCAAGAGCACATCCAAAGGATGAGAGAGGGAGTGACCTGGAGGGATGGCCTCAAAAAGGGTCCCACCTGTGGACACAGCACCTGAAGCTATGGCAGGGCTTTATCAGCAGCACCGCGGCCAGGAGGGACGAGGCGCTTGTCGGGGTGTTTGGATCAGTGGCACAGGGACATGCACAGCTGCTCCTGGCCTCGGTCACTCAGTGGCACATACGGAGCTTTTTCCATTTAATTTCTGCAGGTGGGAGCTTTGATTTCCCTTGCAGGCTCTCAGCCCCCTTAGCAAGGGTTTGCTCCTGCTTTTCATTACTATACCAGACATAGCTGATCTAATGGCTTCTACAGGTGGCGTGGGGTACAAGAGGGTCCGGCCGCGGTTGTCAGCTGTCATCCAGAGTCAGAGTTAATCCAGGAAAACAGTAAAAATTAGTAATGTATATTGCATTCCTCCAATCCATACGCTTTCCATTAGGTGATCTTCTATCCTCCTTAGCACAGAAAGAAAACCCTGCTGATGGCAGTCAGCGTTTCTGACTCTGAAAGGCAAGGATTGGTCGTGCCTGGAAATTCGATCTTGGCTCTCGCATTCCTGGACACACTGTCTATGCAAGGAATAGTCTTCCACCTTTAGATCCAGGCAGCAGATGCTGACCATGTGCACAGCCTTTGCCTGCAAGCCCAGGAGCTTCTGCAGCAGCAGACATGCCCAGCCTGGGGCCGCGCCGGGGTGGTGCAGCCTGGCATGCCCTTGCGCCAGGGTGCCATGTGCTGGCCTGGGTCTCCCCGTGACTGGAGGCCTCTCAAGGGTAATGACCTTGTCCAGTGTCACACCACAATGTCATGCAAGTACAACAGCCAGGTCAGCATGGTAATGAGGTGCAGTTAATTCTTTTGAGAGAGAACATTTTGAGGTTTTTTTATTAATAATCTGGTGAATAAATTCTTCTAGATCATCAGTGTCAAGAGGGTTACAGTATTCTTAAACCAATAAAAAGAAAGTGAAACATTCAGCTTTCTTAAATAAGCCCTATCTTCAATCACCCCTACGCTTTAGTGGCTCAAGAACAACAGTTCAGTAATAAATGTTATACAAGGCAAACTCCATCAGTAATTATGTGCAGATGAAGAAGTGGAAAAGACTTACATTAATTTCTAGGTGTGACTGCACATGCTAAGCGTGGCCTGGGCCCTTTGAGGTGTCATGAGCAAGCTGGGGGCCGTGCTGTGTGAGATGGAGCTCCATGTGTGGAGCTGCAAAAAGGAAGGGGTTCCCCCCTCCAGCTCCTGCTCCAGAAAAAAAAAGGTCCAGAAAGCTCTGGGTTTGGTGCCGTTAGGTCACTAGCTTGCAGGGCTAAGTCTGACTTTTTTTTGTTTTTCTTTCTTCTTACTTTTGCTGAGAATGTGATCAATGGGCAGGACTACGAGGTGATGATGCAGATCGATTGCGAAGTGATGGACACCAGGATCCTCCACATCAAAAGTTCATCTGTCCCTCCGTATCTCCGAGAGCAGCGCAGAAATCACACCAACACCTTCTACAGCGCGTCTCCCTCCGTCACGGAGATGCCCCATGCCCTTAGGGCTATTGTCAAATCCCTGCAGTAGCTCCTGAGGCGTAGCTGCGTGGCCCGTGCACCTGGCATGCAGCAGGTCCTGCTGCCAGACTGAGCCCCTTCGGTGACGGGTCCCCAGGGCTCCTGGCACATCGGCACAGCAAGGGCAGACGCCGCTTAGCCCATTCCTGTGCCTGACCCTACCCAATGGCTGCATCCTGCCCAGGGATTATACAGCTCAGCTGGCCCCTCGCCAAGGACAGGCCTGGGGGATCCATGCAGCGTGCGATGCCAGGTGTCAGGGGTGCAGGTGATGCACGCTGCTGCAGTCCTGGTGTCAGCATCAGCAGCTGGTGCACCGGTGGGACACGAGCCATCCTTGCTACTTATGCTCTGTCCATAATTGTGGGGGGTTTTTTGTGGGTTTGGTGGGGTTTTTTTGGTTTTTGTTTTTTTGGGGGGTTTTTTTGTCCCTGTTAAACCGTCCCCTGAGGTGGGGTGCTGAGCGCTGGGGTCATGCCCAGAGACACTGCTGCGAAGGCCCATGCTTGAGATCAGGCTCCCCCCCCCCGCCTCAGTGCACTCTAGGCAGCAGGAGGAAGCGGTATCCATCTCCCAGCTGCAGGTGCAGGGAGAGCTGCAGCCCTGCACCCCATGCTGGTGTGCTGCACCCCGCCACCCCAGCCCTGGCCCTGCGCCCTGGGAGCATCCCTCCTCTGCCGGAGTGGCTGTGCTGGGCCTGGCTGGACAGTCCTGCTCCTTGTCACCCCCATGCACAGCCACATGCCTGCCCCAAATCCCTGCCCATGCAGCCTCCTTGCCAGGAAGTGGTGGGCTGCTGCCCAGGGTTGCAGCAGTGCCGTGGGGCAGCCCAGCCCCAGCCACCCACTGGGTTGGTGGGAACCCACACTTACAGCCAAAGCACTATGAGCAGAAGGACCTGCACTGCTATGAAGCGTGGTCTCGCTCCCGGGGGGGGTCACCCTGCCGGGGGAGTCCCTTGGTTGGACCCCGCAAGCAGGGCACCTGGGTGGTACAGGGCCTGGGCTGCCCTCCCAGGCAGTGTGTACGTACAGACGTATGTGTGTACGAACACACACCCACCCCCCACATCCCCCCA